CCAAGAAAAGCATTGGTTCACAAGGGTAAACAGAACTGTTTTGTCACCGATGCTCTATCTGAAGTAAACAGGCAGCTAACTGGACCTGTTGTGAAAGTTTCTATTTGCACTCTTTTACTATCTGTGGATGGGATGCATAGCTCCTACTAGCTACTACTGATCTGGCCCTGCTTTAGGTTCCAGCCCCCTCATGCTGTGGCCCACTGTATTTACCTAATTCACTTGGGCCAAAGACTTAAATGGCCACTGCTTTATTTATCACACCCATTTCTCATACCAGGGAAATGTTCCGTGAACTTGTGAGCATAACAAATCACCTATTGCATCTGCCAATGTGGGAGACACTATACATATTTTGATGCACAGTACTCTCCAAGAAAGGAATGATTGGTGCTTCAGAGCCATCCTGCAGGCCAAATGATGGACAAAATGATCAATTTGGACAAAAATGATCCAAAAGATACAACTCTCTAACCTACGAAAACCAGTGCCGATACTTTTATGTATGTATGCAACCATAGTTTATGGCATATCAACTTTGTTGAGCCATTGGGAGGACTATGCTAGGAGTTGGAATACAGGTTAAATGATAATTACATGTGTCACCAGCCCTCAGTTCAGGCCAGATGCACCCTTAATGCCCACTTTCACTGTCCTTATTGGGTACATCTCATGAGCCACCTGGCAGGGAAAGTACAAAATGGTACTCCTTCAAAAGGAGGCTGCTGCATCCAACTGTCAACTAGGGACCTGGTAACCTTGTTAATTTCAGTGTCCCTAACCTATGAAACCCCTGATGGAAAATGGCTGATAGATTGGAGCAGAGCATGGACATAAGAACTGTGTTATATTTCAAGAGTTTCTGTCATCCATAAAGACAAATCCAGATCCTTCCACATTTTTTAAGAGGAAATAAAAGGTAGCCTACTTCCTATCCCTACCATAATAAGAAACTGGTTTTGGTCCTGACAGAGACTATAGCCAGTCTCTAAAGGTCTCTGTCTGGCCACGTATCTGAGGAAACTGATATGGAAGATCAGTGGCCTTGAGAGACTAAAGAATTGAATCCCTGCAAGCCTTATAATGAGACAGGATACTCCAGTCCTGCTACTGGGGTTTGGCTCCTTAAAACTTCAATTATTGGAGGTGGGTTTGGTGGCACATGCCTTTAAGCCTATTACACCAAAGGCAAAGGCCTCTGTGTTTGAGGTCAGCCCAGTCTACACAGGGAGCTCCAGGCCATCCAGAGCTACATAATGAGACCCTATCTCAACAAACAAAACAAAACAAAGCATTTTTCTTTATTTTTCAAGACAGGGTTTCTCTGTAGGTTTGGAAACTGTCCTGGAACTCTCTTTGAAGACCAGGCTGGCCTCAAACTCACAGAGATCCGCCTGCCTCTGCCTCCTGAGTGCTGGGATTAAAGGCCTACACCACTACTGCCCAACTTTTTTGGTTTTTCAAGACAGGGTTTCTCTGTGTAACTCTGCAGACCAGGCTGTCCTGAAACTCAGAGAGATCTGCCTGCCTCTGCCTCTTGAGTGCTGGGACTAAAGGCATGTGCCACCACCTCCCAGCTCCAAACAAAACTAATTATTGGGGAAAAAACTGTCTTCCCTGGTGGAAATATGGCATATCACTTCTTTTTGAAACCTGGCATGCCTAGGCCAAAGATTCCACAATGCAGCTACCTAGAAAATCCAATGGTGGGGCTGGAGAGATGGCTCAGAGGTTAAGAGCACCGACTGCTCTTCCAAAGGTCCTGAATTCAATTCCCAGCAACCACATGATGGCTCACAACCATCCATTATGAGATCTGGTGCCCTCTGCTGATGTGCAGATATACATGGAAACAGAATGTTGTATACATATTAAACAAACAAACAAATAAAAGAAACTCAGCTGTCTTTACCTCCATTAAAAAAAGAAAGAAAGAAAATCCAATGGTGTGGATCACCATACACCCTTGAGCCAGTCGTTCACCCCTTGTCCAGTTTTTCTCATCTCTGATAAGCCTGGAGCAATGGCAATGCAGATATCCAATGTCAGGCTGTAGGTGACCTACACTAGATATAACCGACCAGATTATACTTGCCCCAAACTGACCAGGATCATGTTTGGGGTCCATCGATACACCTTTCTTCCTGCCCCCACTTACCACAGGGGACCATTTGGAAGTCTTTAAGTATTCAGAGACTCGGAGACTCAAAGTAAATGGCATGCCTTACAAATTGTCAACTAAAAAGATAATGTATGGCTGAGTGAAAAATCTATTATTATGGTCCAGCTACTAGCAGAGGATGGTTCCTGAGGGTACCCTACTGCCATGCATATGCTAAACCAGGGTACAGGCTGTTGTTGAAATTATAACGAATAAAACTGCAAAAGCCCTTAATATATTGTTATATAAGACTTTTCTCAGAGGATTGAAACATTCCACTCGGCAGGAAGCTCCCTAAGCAGGAAGGTAAACAACTCCAAAGAGCTTCAGGAAGCTCCTTAAGCAGGGAGGTAAACAAGTCAAAGCAGTTTTAAGAAGTCCCCCAAACTGACCACATTCACTAAGCCCCTCCCTGCCAGAGTAAAGAATAAAGTCCCTTTGAGATAAAAGGAAGTCGAGCTGCAAAGAAGACTCTGAGAGGAGCCCAGACCAGCTGCCTGGAAGAAGGAGAAACTAGCCGAGATGGAGCTGCCTTGCCTGGAACAGGTTTCCACCAACAGAGGCACCTGGTAATGGCACTCTGTAACCTGTTGAGCTGCCTGCAGGCTGTGCAGTGTGCTCCAGGTTCCCAGCTTTTGAGCTGTCACACGGGCTGGGTTGGACTTTGGTGATGCAGCTGTCTGCTCCTGTAAGTGACCCCTTACCTATATTCCTGTAAGTAGCCCCAATAAAACCATTGCGTCACCAAATTGGACTTTGGTTGGTATTTGCAGTTTAGTCTGTTTGGGCTCTTTATCTGGGGTGAATAGACACGTGTCTTTTGTCTCCTCAGGAAAATTTTTTTGTCATAAAACATAAAATAGCCATGCTATTTCAGTACTCAGTTTGCCCCATTTTTTTCCCCTCAGCATAAATACATATGCTCTGTTTGAAAAATCAAACACCACAGTTAGTTCTGGCCTACAATATGAACCCCGGGTTCAAGCTCAGGTTATCGGTTTGGTGGCAGATACCCACCGAATCATTTAATCAACCTTAGTCCTACTATGTTGAGTGCATGTAGCCCCAAATCTGCCTTTATTATTACAAATTATTTGCTTGTTTACTGTGTGCGTCAGAGAACAATGATGAAATGGCTCTCCTTTTCTCCTACGTGAGTTCAGGGCTTGAACTCCACTTGTTGGGCAGGGGACAAGAGCCTTTTCACAGAGGCAGGCAGATCTCTATGAGTTTGTGGCCAGCCTGGTCTGCAGAGCGAGTTTCAGGACAGCTAGGGCAGTTACACAGAGAAATGCTGTCCAAAAAACAAAACAAATAAAAACTACAACAGTGTTTTACTTGCTGACCTTTCTTGCCAGCTCTAATTTCACCATCTTGAATGCATACTAGAGAAAATGGCTTAAAATTCAAATTACATGTGTTTATTTGTGTGTGTGTGTGTGTGTGTGTGTGTGTGTGTGTGT